TAGGCTGGGCCAGCCAGGAAGCAAGGCGAGGTGAGCAGATGCATGCCCAGCACCGTGGCGGACAGGGCTCCAAGGCCCACTCATGGTCTCAGTGCTCCCTACTCAGGGCTGGGCCATGGAGGGGGCGGCATACGTCTGGAAGCGCTTGTGGGCCCGCTGATATGTGAGCAGTCTCAGGGACATGGTGTCCACAGCTGCTTCCAGCCCCGGCTGCTGGGTGATCTCCACCGTGTGGTCGTTGGCCTGGAGGGACAACATATCAGCAGAGACTAGGGACCACCCTCCCCACACACAGGCTCCTAGGCCACTCACCAGCTGCAGGGAGGCCAGCATGGAGCGACACACCTCGAAGGCAGGCTGCCCGGCCACCAACTCCGCAAAGGGACACCACTGGTTGAGTTGCCTGAACCTTGAGACCACCTGGTCCCCATAGGTGTGGATGTCAAAAGGCATGTGCTGCTCCTGCAAAAGGGAGGGGCACAGTCCTGGGGCTAGCCCACCAGGCAGTGGGATGCTCCTGTTCTCAGCCACAGGCCCAACCAGCCCACCTCACCTGCTCCTGGAGCAGGGGTTGGATGGTGTCTTCCCACTCCCTGATGCGCTGGCTCAGCTCTGTCTCCTGGACAAACTTCTGAGACGTGGTGATGAAGAGCTCCTAGGGGCGGGCCAGGGGCTGTATCGCCTTCTGTGCAGGGGCCCCTCTCCCCACTCCCCACAGCTCCCACCTGGGCCTACCACATTCCTTCGGACCAGTTCCTCATAGCTCAGGGATGCCGGCATGGCTTCTGCTTCTGGACAGTGGGCAGCTGTGAGCCACAATCTCTCCTTCCTCCCGTTTTCAGAGCCCCTCATGGCCCGCCAGCCAGCAGCCCACTCCCAGACCTACCTAGGTCTCCATCTTCCTCGGACTTTGCCCCCTCAGGCTCTGCATACTCCTCAGGCTCTAGAAAGTCACCTGTTGGGAGCAGAGGACCCCAGCAGGAAGCCGGTCAGCCGGCAGCAGGTGCTGAGTCCTGACCTGGCCTGCCCGAGTAGGTGCCCACCTGCCACTCCCAGATCCTCTAAAGAGTCCTCCAGGCGGTCCTCCTCCGCAGGCCATAGCCCCTCCTCGGTCCTTGGCGGCCACCGCTCAGCCACCTGTGCAGAGAGGGCATCTGAGAGGCACTGCTGTCTCCGACCAGTGGGGCCAAGTGTGGTCTAGGCAGTGGCCAGTACTTGCCTCCCTCCTCTGCAGCTTCCGCAGGGTCTCCAGTTGCTCCTTCACGTGCCTCCAGTACAGATCCTCCATGTCTGCACACAAAGGCCTCGTGAGAGGGGCTCCCACATCCCGCCTGGGTCCACCCTAGTCCACCCAGGGCCTCGGGCATTCCTAGGCTGAGGGGAGGCGGCAGAGTGGGGCCCTCATCCCCCAGGAGAGCACACAGAAGGCCCCCACCTCACCTGCAAAGGAGGGGCCCTTACGCCGGGGACTCCTGCTGTCAGCGTGGTCAGCATCTACAAGAGGACTGGGTCAGCAGGAGTTAAGCCAATGGCCCGCAAGCCACACCTGGACCCTCAGCCCTGGCCCTGGCCCAGGCCCTGGCCCACAGCCCCACGCACAGGCAGCCAGGTACCACTGGTGGAAGTCCTGCAGCTTGGCCGTGCCCTTCCTCTTGCGCTTCTGTCCCGGAGCCGCCTCCACACAGGGGGGCACGGAATAGGGCCTACCTGGGGGCAGGCAGACAGTCTTATAGCACAACCATGGCCCAGGGCAGGCCACTGTGCCCACAGGCCCCAGGAGCCCCAGGCTCCATGCAGGCCAAGTGAGCCCCACTTGGGTGCCCAAAGGGAGTGCCCCTCCCCCAGTTACCTTTCCTGAAGGGCTTAGAGTCCAGGGAGTCGAAGGGGTCCAGGCCCTGCCAGGGGTCTGGGGTCTCCTGAGCACAGAGCACAAGCAGACACGAGAATATGGTAGACAGGAACCCTCTCCCAGTCTGGACACACGGAGGGAGATGCCCACGCGAAGTTCAATTATGAGGCAAGGAATATTCCTCACAAGCCAGGTGCAGGGCCTCAGGCTAGGAGCCTGGCAGCCAAGAGCGCTGGCAGCAGTGAGGCGGTGGGTTGTGGGCCTCAAGCACGCATGCCCTCCCTGGGGTCCAGACCCCATGACCCCTCACCTTCAGCCGGGAGGCAGGCTCCCGCAGCAGGCACTTCCTGGGCTGGGTGATGCCCTGCAGAGAAATGCCTGGATTCCCCTCTCTCCTCCACCTGAGGCTCCAGCAAACTCCCCCCTCCCCCCATAGCAGCTCTGCTCTGGGCCAGACACCAAGAACCCTGCAGGGACCCTGGGGGTGGGACAGGAAGTTCAAGTAGTTCAATGACAAAACTAAAGCAAAAATTATAGGAAAAACGTTAAGAGAACACACAAACTAGTAAATTAGTGATCGTGGGATACTTTTTCTCTAAAAAATACAAAAAAAATGATAACCATCTATGTATCTACTAACCAAAGTTATCAAATGTTAATGTTTTTTCCTGAGCGTATCAAGGTTTTTTCTTATAACGAATAAAAAGATTTCTTAGCTCTAGGCTAGGGCACAGAGCTGACCCACGGGGGGAGAGGGAGGCAGGCCCCTTGGTGCTGGCCAGCCTGACCTCAGGGGCGTCAGCTCAAGGCCAGCTGCCACTCAGGGGAGCAGCCAAGAGCACCAGAGGGCAGCAGCTGCTCAGAGAAGGGAGGGACATGAAAGCCACCGCTCAAAAGGGCTGGGTGCAGGACCAGTCCAGGGTGGCTGAAGGATGCACCCACTGCCCTGGTGTGCAAGGACCAGAGAGGCAGAGTGGGGCAGAGACCATGGGATTGCCTTTCCTGGATAAGTGTGGCTGCCCCCGCCAGGGCTGGCCTGGCTGAGGGCTGAAGCTTGGCAGGCCTCACTGTGGGTCCCACCTGCTCTGGACTCCTGGGCTCCTGGGGCTCCATAGGGACCTCGGGGGCCACGGCCTCGGGGAGCACTGCCGCCCCCTCTGCATCCTCTTCGTCATCCCTATATCCAGGCACTGGGCCTTCCAGTGAGGTGCCTGGGCAGGGAAGCAAGAAACTGGTCAGTCCCAGGAAGCCTGAAGACCAGACAGCAAATGGGGAGCTGCCTCCCCCTCAGCTGCGTCTGTCAGAACCAGAGAGAACAGCAGAGCATGTTACACTCTCATCTGCTGCTGCGTCTCGTTTGGTTCATTTTATGCGTTAGAAATCTTCCTCTTTAAATGCTGCCACCTATGTCTGCCTGGAGAGGAGGGGGTGGGTCCAAACCTCAGAGGCCTGCCCCAATGCCTCACCCCCAACAAGGGGCAGAGGTGGGCAGGCTGGGCTGCCTGAGTGCAACCCCAAGTAGAGTTCCCCTACTCCCACCTGCAAGTCCACCAGGGAGCTCTCTCCTCACCTGGCTCCTGGGAGATGCTGAGTACAGGGGCCAGACTTCTGCACACAGAGACTTCCATTGGCTGCTCCTCAGCCCTCCCAGCCACTGGGAAAGACGGGGGATTGAACGGGGTAGGCCCAACTCCCCTGCAGAAGGCCCCTCCCAGGGACCCGGCAGAGCCAGGGCCGGGGAGGGGAGCACAGAGCAGGTGCAGGACTCAGGCACCCTGGGACGGATCTGGCTGTGGGCAAAGATGGGCAAAGGGGCCCGTCTTCAGAGCGGGTGCCTGGTGAGGGAGGGGCTCCCAGATCCAGAGCTGGTGAGCACAGGGTACCTGACAAATAGCCCACCCCGAAGACCCTGCCTTCCCACCAGGCCCCCGGTGCCCAAGCCTCACACTTCTGGTCCCTCGGCAGCAGGGCCTCCACAGGGGACATGACCCCTGGCTCCAACATGAAGGCTCCTCCGGGGTGGGGGGTGCACGTATTCATCCTGAAATCCTTCCGGCTGGCCAGGACCTCCCCATGACAGCTGTGCTAGCAGAAACACAGGCAGTAGAGCCCCCTCCCAGCATACCCCAGCCCCTGCCCACTGGGCTCAGGCCCACACCTGTATAGGGGGTTACTGTTCTTCTCCATCTCATCCGGGGCTACCAGGGCCATAGGCAGGAGGGGGACGATGAGGGTGTCCTGCACAGAGGCCGAGAACAGGTGGGCCATGGATCTGGGCGGGGAGCCCATGTGCACTACACCACCTTCCAACACCCTCATCAGCTAAGAGTGGCCCCCACCCACAGGGGAGGGGCACTCACACTGGGGGCCTGATCACCCCTCAGATCCACGTTAGTGCGGGAGTCGGGGAGGTCATCCAGCAACAGGAACTGTGGGGAGACCAAGAGCTCAGGGGTGCGCCCAGCAGGTGCAGCGGCCAACACCACGCACCCCGAAAATCTCACCTCGTCCTCCACCTCCCTGGGGGCCCTAGAGCTGCCATCCCCGTCGGCCCCGTCTTCCTGGGCAGAGGAAAGCTGCTTGGCCCGCCTGAGAGAGAGTCAGCGTGCGAGCATCACTGAGGCTGCAGGACCTCCCGGCCCTACGCACAGCAGACGCGCAGTCCCCATCTCCTGCCGCGTGCTTCTGGTACTCACTTCTTGCCGGAGATGAAATCGAGAGCCTGGTAGACCAGCGAGTAGAGGTATTCCACCTGCCAACCAGAAGTAAGACTTGAGGACGCAGAACAGAGAGGCCCGCCCAAAATGCTCAGGGCCCGCTCCAAAACCTCCAGCACAATTCTACCCAATCTGGCTGCCAAAAGCCCTTCTTCAATTGAACCAGTACATTTCATCAGAACTACCTGAGGGCCGAAGCTCCCTGCTGCTCCTCCTCTGTCCCCACACCACACAGCAGCAGCAGGCGTGGCCACTGCAGTGCATGGCACCCACCCTGCTCCAAACGCAGCCCTGTGTGCCCTCCCTCCAGGCACCCCAACCAGCCTGCCTGCAGCCTGCATCCGTGCTGCCCCCAGCCAGCACCCCATGCACTGCCCCTGCAGGCTCAGCCTGCCGCCTCCCCCTCCCAGGGGCACCTGTGAGTCTCCACTGGCCCCAGCACAGCTCCGGCCACAGTAGGATGCCCCACTGTCAGGGTGAGGGTTGGGATTTTCCAGATCCTGACCACAAAGCACTCACCAGTAGGGCAGGAATAAGGGCTGTCTCTGGGCTACTCCCTCCAGGCTGACATGCCTAACACAACAGCGAGCAAAACCTGACCCACAGATCCCACGCGCCAGAAACAATACACATGTGCTTCTGCAGGTGTCTGCCACACACACGGGCCTCTGCTTCATCTCATCTGTCCGAGTCACCAGCTCTTGCTATTCTCACTGTGCACGAGGGTCAACTGAGACTCGGAAACAAGGTAACCTCGGTCTGTGGGAGCCCAAGGACCTGCGCCCGGGGGTGCAGGAGTCCAGCGCTGCACTACCGAACACAGCAGCCTCAGCCACGTGTGGCTTTATCGATTCAAATTTAATTTAAAGTGAGTAAAACTCAAGACTCTTCCGTCACATTGGCCATGTCTCAGGGGCTCAGGAGCACACATACATGACAGCACAGATCATACTTCCATCCCCCCAGAAAGCCCACTGGTCAGTGCTGACTACGGCCTGCACACCTCACACACACCTTCCAGACCCCATGCTAACGTGTCACTACACTTGTTTCACCACATATTTGTGTATCAGTTCACCTTACGTTTTCTGCTTTCAAAGTTAGTTGTAGACACTCCTCCTTAAGACAAGCACAAGATACAGGAATCTGACTTCATGGAATTATGCAGGACAAACACCAACGAAATCTCAGGCTGTCTTGATGTCTCCTGGTGCTGAGGTAGGTCCACTCCACCCCACACACATGGGCTACTTTCCCTCCTGTCTGGTTGGGACCCCACTACCGAGCTCCTCAGTACACTACTAAACTCTCCCCTCCTGGGCACCTTTTAGTCCCTACCCCTCAACTAGATGCCAGTTTCAGACCAGCACTGTGGTCCACAATCCTCGCTCTCGTACTCGGGGCAGCTGAGCACTGCTGAAGGGAAATCTCATAAACGTGGCCACTGGTCCCCGTGCAGACAGCATGGTGCGTGGGCTCTTCCCCAGACTAGCAATGCTTTCCATTAACCTTTTATTTTGCATTCCCCTCAGCAAAAAAAAAAAATGTTGATCTTTTGCCAAACTTCACTCTCCAAATTTCTATCCAGTCACTGATGGCCAGTAGTTGACTTACATTCTCCATCATGAAGACAGGACCTTTGGCATGAACCCCCAGAGCTGGTGCCCAATTTGCTACATAGACATTCATCTCCCCTGTGTCTTGAGAGAAGGTGTCTTTCCCTCTTCAAGGCAAGCCGGTCAGCCCAGGTCCCTGACCCTGGGACTCTGTCTCACCCATTTTCCTCTCCCTGCTCCCCTTCCCTGTCCCCCCAACCCAGGCCCGCCACCCCTAGCTCTGTGGTTTTCACTCCTGGCTGTCACTGAGGATATTTCAAGAAATCCTGCTACCTGCCTGCGTGCCCCCCACCCCCGGGATTCTGGATCTGCTTTACTCTGTTGGGTGCGGTCCAGGCCCTGGTAGCCATCCCAACTGGAGCCTGGGTGGAGAGCCACTGCTTTAGTTACCACCCAATCTCTTCCCTCCCTTTCAGTAAAATTTCTCAAGAGGAACCCACATTTACTGTGGCCCTTCTCATCTCTCATTACCCCCCATCTCCAGCAGTCTGGCTCTCCATTCACTAAACTCCCTGGCGACCTTCTCACTGCAGACCCCACAGATATCTGGAAGTCCTTACTGTATGGATCGAATTAACTTCAACCTTTTTGGTCTTTTTTCTTCAGCCTTGAGATTCCCTGTTGCTCTGACTTCCACAGCTGGACTTTTCTTGAGTTACCTTCCTCCGACCTTTCCTTCTCGTGGGCGTGTCCCAAACACTGGTTTTCCCCAGTGGTTCTGCTTCTCCTTACTCTACAACAGACTGCGAACTCCTGCCACCTTGGACTGGGTAAGCCTTTGTTGTATGAGGCTCTCCTGAACACTGCTGGGTGTCTGGAAGTGAGCCCTGCGATTTTAAATTCAAGCTTGTTCTTTGGCATTAAAAGGTCACAAGGAATCAGAGAGGAGGCAGGTCAGAGATGGGGAGCCTGTCACCTGCCCCAGCAGGACCACAGACCTCGGTCCCATACTAAAATGCCAAGACCAAGGGCCAGTGGGACCCACCTTCTTACTGTAAACACAGGCGGAGCCCTGGATCAGCAGTGCAGCCTCAATGAAGTTCATTGTGGTTTTGCCTTCATCAAAAGAGATGCAGATCTGGTCCAGCTGCAAGACACAAGAGCAAGGTGGTGGGAAGCGAGTCTACACGTACCTCTCCCCAACGGGTCCCACGAGCAGCCCTCAGACTGACAGCTCTGGCTGTCTGGGACTCACCAGTTGTCCACTTTGGGGGACAGAAAGACAGATCTCCATGATTTCCCCTACTTCCTGTGACCTCCGAGACCTGGTGTTTTGGAAGAGGGAGGCCCCTAGAGTGCATCATCCACAAACAACCAGAGCTATGCACCAGCTCCTCTCTGGGGGCACTCCACACCGCGTCCCTCCTAGTCGAGGCCAATATGGGCAGAGTGGCAGGAAGACCCCCACCCTGGGAGAAGGACTGGGGAGCCTCTAGGGTGAGGAAGACAGAGACAAAACACTGGGATCTCAATCCTCTGAGCAAAAAACTCAGGAAATACTTTCAAGTGAGTCCTCTGTTCTCTGTAACATCCAACTCTCCCAGCCTCCCGAGTCCCATTTGTAATCACCCATTGAATGTCTGTGTCTACCGACTGTATGCCAACAGTTTCCAAACCCATCTAGACCAGCTCTCTCATCAGCTGCAGGACTGTGTTTACAGCTGCCGACTAGGTATCTCCACTGAGATGCCACTGTCCCCAGACTTTATCTCCACCTGTAACTCAGGGTCTTCCCCACAGCCTGGCCCCTCCCCTGCTCTTCTCGGGGTCAATACTTTGAAGGCCTAACATGGTTTTCAAGCTCTTCACCTTTGATCTCCATCTGCCTGGAACACCACCCTCAGCCATGCCCACTATAAACTCTTCAGTCTCCCTCAGACATGCCTTGGGCTTTGCTGCCCTATCTGGGTGGTCCTGTCACACTGTTGGGGTCTCTCATCCCCCAGGGGACTGTGAGCAATGTTAGGGTAACTCCAGCCTCTAGTCCAATCACGGTCTGATGAACAAAGAGGTGGTGTCGGGGCTGAGACAGACGGGAGAGCCTGCTCCCGGGGCAGGTGGAGGGAAAGGCCTTTCGGGAAGAGCGGCCACCACACAAAGGCACTCAGCAGACACAGGACTCAACTAGTTAGGAAAACAAGTATCACGCAAACACGTCCAAAGCAAAGGGCATGCTGGGAGAGAGGCGGGGCTGGGGCCCCACTCTGGCACACGTCCCTGAGGACAGAGGGAGTCTGCGAGGTCAGTCTGGGAAGGAGAGGAAACAGGAGCACACCGGTCCGGGGGAGCGCAGAGCATCCTGGACGTGTGGACGTGAAGGGAGGGGACAGAAGGAGAGGGAAGCCAGGCCTCCCGGGCTCTGAGCTGAGGAGGTGGCCCTTTCCTCCAACGCTCCCAGGACCTCACATTCCATTCACCTTGTAACGACTCCTAAATGCACACTCTGGGTTGGACCTCCCACTGAAGCCCAACCCTTACGTCCAACTGCCTTCTTCAAACTCCACTGGGATGTCTTAATCGGAACTCACACTCAACAGGTTCACACTGCTCTCTAGCTGTCCACTGCCCACCCGCCCAGCCACCCACTAGAGACCTGGGGTCTTAGCTCCTTCTCGCCTTCTCTCACAGTCCCTGTCCAACCTCTGCCCAGGTCACGCCGATCCCATGTTCCGCTCCATCCTGCCAGCCGGCTCCTCTCCACAGTGCCCGGACTCTTGCTCAGCCAGCCTCACCTCTGGCCTGCCGCCAGCACTAACTGGATTTTCCTGCCTTGTCTTAAGCGCTTGTCTTAAGATCTGAGGTAGATTACCTCACCCCACTCAGAACCCTAACAGGCTTCTGCCACTCTTAGAAAAAAACCCTAACCCTAAACAGAGCCCCCAACTGACAAGACTCCCCTTCAGTCCTCGGCCCTCCCCGGTGCCAAGTACTTTCCGCCCCAGAACCATAGAACACTTTTCAGCTTGCTACAAGGCCACATCTTTCATCCCAAAGTTAGGTCACAGGCACAAAAAAAGGAAACCAAAGTTAGGTCCCCCAGTCAAACTCTTCATGGAACCCTCAACTTTCTTTTCAAACCTCTCAGCAGTTTGTGGTTACACAAAGACACACGAGTGGGGAGGAGGGTGGGCTCTGCTCTGGCACCTGCTAGCCAGGACTTTGAGCATTTAACCTCTCTACCCCTCTGTAGAACCGGTATCTGTACTAACAGGGCTCTTGTGAGGATGAAATGACTTTATATACACAAAGCACATAAAACAGTACTTGAGTGAGCACCGAATGCATGTTATGTTTACAACTCTGGGTGGTAACTGCATTAGATCCAACTTCCCACAAGAATGAAGCAGGGACTGCTGTTCACTTGCCACTGTTTCTTCAGTGTTTGATGGTTCTTAGCACACAACAGTCAACAATTATGAGTGAATAAATGGATGAGACAGAACTACAACATAAAATGTGTTTTTAAAAAAAGAAAAAAAGTATTCTGGTAGCTGTGTGTAAAATGAAAGGAGGAGGAAAACAAAACCAGAGGCAGGGAAACCAGGGCTTCACAGGGCAGAGAAGGTTTGGAAAAGCAGACCTACGAAGCACGAGGGGAGCTGACCAAGCAAGGAAGTAGGTTTACCAGGCACCCCCAAGCACCCTGCTCCATGTGGAAGCCTGAGTTTGCAGTAGCCCCACCTGGCACAGTTCTCTGCATTCTCTCAGGAGATTGTACGTTCAAGCATGTAAGGCCCATCATCAGATCAACTGTTCTTTTTACAAACATTTATTCTGCACCTACTATGTGCTAGGTGTTCTATTAAGCAAAGGGAAGAGCGCATGAACATGGTCCCTGTCCTCCCAGAATTTACATGCTGGCGTGGAAACAGACCACAAATAAGTTACAGAACAGCCTGTAATGAGCATTCTAAAATACAGAAGGCACTACCAGAGAGAACTATTTTAGACACAGTGGTCAGCTGGCATTTACACTGAAACATACAGGACAACAAGGAATCGGTCATAAAAAGAACTGGCGAAGAATATTCCCCAGCAAAGGCAAAAAATATAAAACCCTCAGCCAAGAATGAGCTTGGGTGTTGTAGGCTAACTGGCTGGAAAGAACAGGTGAAGAGCCTGACAAGGCGAAAGCAGTGAGCAGTGCCAGATTCAGAGAAGGGAGGCTTGTTTTTATTTGGGGGTGGTGGGTATTAGGTTGATTTACTTGTTTATTTTTAATGAAGGTACTGGGGATTGAACTCAGGACCTTGTGCAGAGCTAATCCACCAATGAGCTGTTCCCCTCACTCCCAGAGAAAGAAGTTTGGATTTTATTCTGAGAGCAGTGGAAAGCCACTGAGAGGTTTTAGCCAGGACAGTGCTGTAGTCTGATTTCAACTTTTAAGAATAATACTTGTAGCTGGGTGGAGCATGAATTGCATAGGGCCAAAAACAACAGTAGGGAGTCTGGGAAGGAAGGTTTTTACATGAATCTGAGCCAGAGGGTGGCCTGAACCAGAGAAAAAGGAAAACGGGTGAATTCAAGTGAAATTCTGATGGCATAACTGACAGAACTCATGGGTGAACTGGTGTGGAGTGTGCTTTTCTTAGCTTTCCCTTGGTTAACAGTGGTGCCATGTACCAGGATCAGGAACACTGGGATTTGAGCAGGAACATAAAGAGCTCTCCTTTAAGTATATTAAGTCTGAGGTGCTTGTGTGACATCTAAGTGGAATGTCAAGATGTAGCTGTATATACAAAACAGATTCAGGGAAAAGGCCTGGAATGTAAATATAAATGGGAGGAGGGCAGGGGGATAAATAAACCAATTTAGGAATTGTTCTCATACACGAGATACCTAAAGTCGTGGAAATAAATTAGATTGTTTAGGGGAAGGGTGTAGAGAGATAGCCCAGGCCACACCCTGAGGAGCTCAACACTGAGACTGGAGAGAAACAGTCAGCAAGGAAATTGCAAGAAAATCAGAACACCAAAACCTGTTTCAAAAAAGAGGGTGTGGTCAGCCCAACAAATGCTGCTAGGATGACACTTGTGGTGACCCTTGGATTTGGTAAGAGGGAGGTCATTACTGATCTAAGCAAGAGCAACACAAGTGCGCTGAGGAGTAAAAGTGGAGTACAGAAATGCAGCGGACAGCTCCTTAACGAGGTCTAGACATAGTTGTCAAATATGGAGAAAAGATTAATAGTGATGAGATGAACATGGCAGTAGCCTGAAACTGGTTTGAAAATCTAAGATAAGAAATCGCTTATATCATGATCCAGATCTCTCACACACCCAAACATGCACACAAATTCTATTCTACTCTATTATAGAAAAGTGCTGGTCACCACCCACTAAATCAATTTCAGTGCTCACTGGACCTGTAATGACAGTTTCAGCTTAATCTAATAAAGGATGTCTTCTCGGGGCAGAGATGTATAAAAGAAACGAGCCTGAGGACGAGTGCGGTTAGAGCGCCGGACGGACACACACCAGGAGGCGGCGGGGGTGCCCGGCAGCTCGCGCCCCGCGCCACTCCCCGGGGGCCGCCCTCACCTCTTCCAGATATTCGCCCAGCTGGGCCGCCACGTCCACCTCCCAGTTCTTGGTGAGGTCCCGAATGGGCTGCAGGAGGTGCGCGAAGCGCGCCTCCACGTCCTCCATGTCCGGGAGGGGCCGGGTTGGCCCGGGGACCACAGCTCCGGCTTGGAGGGGGCCAGTAGCCTCAGCCCGCC